GAGGCTGGAGGTGACCTTGTTTTGATACAGACCTCACTGCTTTTGTTGTGTAAATCAAGTTGTACTAATGTTAACTAGGTGCATTTACATGACACAAGCAGAGAGGTCTGTATCAAAGCAAGGTCGCCTCCAGCCTCGCCGGCATTCAAAGGTCAGGTCACTGAGCAGACAACTGTAAAATGGTCTGGAAATGGCTGAAAATGTAGCGTTTCCTTCATTGTAAGTCAAATTGAGCAACAAATCGCCTGCTTTTAGATACAAAGAAATTAACGAAACTGAGCTGAGAACCGATTTCTAGCACAGACGGTAAAAATAAGGACAAAAGAAACTGTCAATAGCTACACCAACGGAGAGAAACATATTGAGGTTTGAAAAGAATTTCATTGTTCATGGTTTTTGATTAAACTGAACGTCACGAACAAATGCCGGGTAGTGTCAACAAATATCATATAGAATAAACAAGCGTCATTTTAAAGTACATTACAGCTGAGCCTAATTTTGTTTTAACCCTCAGAAAAATTGTTTAAGCTCTCGGATGTTTCCGTTAAGGTGTTACGAATTGTTAAACAGCTCGAGAAAACTCAGTCGTAGTTTATGGACCATATATTTGCCTTCCCCCACCCCCCTTTCCCGCCCCCCTCCCTCCGAAGCCCGAGACACGCACGGGCGGAGCGAGACTCCAAACTCCAAGCGATAACTCCTCGCTTATAGTTTGGGCAAAATATCGTGCTCACCATAACTGATAACTTTCGTGGTTGACCAGCTGTTAACCAGTTGAAAGTTATTGCCATTTCCTGTCCATTTCTTTAGACACAAGATCTGACTATAAATTCTTAGTGTATCATTTTGAGTCTTTCAACATCTCAATGAAATCGTTTTCATTTAAAGCCCGAGCATTATTAGCCAGATTTTCCGGAGAACAATAGCCAGAGTTTGATATGACTGTGTCTGAGATCCTTACCAAAAGTTTCTTACTTTAGCGTTCTTCAAATTTGTACTTTACAAAGCTGGACCTGATCTTTGAAATATTTATCTCAACTCGCATCTTGGAAGCGATCTTTGATCGTAATGAACTAAATACATTCCAATTTTGATTACTACAATTGTGCATATTTCGACACTAATAATGGTCTGTTATAAAAACATAAATTTGATTTCAAAGAATTTTGTGGATCAAAAAAGTTATTTTGTTATGGGTATATTGAAGAACCCAAATTCCTCACGGAACGTACATACCGAAGCTTACATTAGGGACCAAACATTGTACTGTCGACTTTTTTTTCTTCTTCTTACCTTTAAACACTTTCTCTTCCAAAAAACGTGAACCTTCTTGCCAGACCACTAGTCAAGGCTAAAATGCCATCGCCGTGCCATACGAGTCAAATTTCTAAGAAGAATAACGGGTGCTCGTTAACCAACCATGAGCTCACGTTGAGGGCGTGCCAGGCTCTTACACATCAAAACAGGTGCCTAGCACTCCCACATTAGGGTGCCTGGCTTTTGGGCGGTACTCCCATTGTTACCAGA